GGTAGTTTAAAGTATCTTAGAGTATCTGAACCTAGTAACTCTACTTGCATGACCAATAAAACGAACAAGCTGCTTTCTCTGCATTTGTTACCGTTGCTGACAGTTCTATTTTGCTTGCAGTTCATTGGTGTTGGAAAGATGGTTTCTGCAACAATTTTTGCCCGGCGTAGTTTGTCTTTTCTCATGAGTGACAAGCCTCAGGAAGCTATAAACGATGCAATGCAAGCACAAGTAGTTTCCCTAGTTTTGCACATTGCATGTTATCTTTAGGCTGTTGCCCTTTCGGCCCTTGGAATGGACAGTGAAGGTGAAGCAACACTTAAGGAGGGTAGTATGCTTGAATCCAAAAGGAGCAAAGCAGCTGGACAGAAGTGAAAATCTAGGCTGGTCGACCAGGTGCGTAGCTTGCCACTTCTCTCGGGTTGGTTCTCAGCTTATATAGCCGCCAATCAATCATAAGGTTTAAAAGCACTAGAGCCAAAGCTTCATCATTTCCACATTATTAGATTTCGTCATTTTCCAGCAGTATATATTGTATTTGAATTGTTTATTTGATTTGCTTTCCCATGCGTCAAATGATTCGAGTATATGAATTACTTTGACAAAATAGAAAAAATAGAAAGTTGTAAAAAAACACTGATAGGGTAGAATTAATAGGGTTTAGGGTAGAATTAATGGGGTAGAATCAAATTATCAATGAAATCCTCTTTATTTATTTTTTTTACATATAATGGGGTAGAATTAATAATTTCTGCTAGTAATCACATTCTATGAAAACAGTAAGATTACAGAACTGTATCTTTGCTGCCATTAGCTCGAAATGACTCCTTTGTTATTCCATAGGAGACTGGTACTTTGCCTACAAAGGTAATGAAATTCCACCTGAAAGCAGACCCACCAATAATATATGTCCCTTGAGTCTAACCATCTTTGCTTGTGCCCAAGTTGAGTTCCTTCAAGTCATCAACAGTTGCCTGCCCTCTATCCTTGAGTTGTGGCAGAGCTTCTTTGGTGTCTTTTTCAGAGACTTCCTCCTCATCGACCTCTTCAACTGCAACATGGTATACGCCTTGGACCATCTCTTCTTCGTCATCCCCTTCGGCTCGTTGGTTCGAGGATTGACCAGTGCATATGATTGTGCATCGGTTCACCTTCAACTGACTGTTCGAACTCACGTCCAATGTGGACTGGCATTTCATGGGCGAAGGGATTAGACTTCGAATCTCATCATACCTGGCTAGGTCAATGTGTCTTTCTTTTTTCTGAAACCGGTTTTCTTTTCCTAGAAGGCTCTATTACCGTTTCGAGTGTGGTGTAGGCCCCGTGAATGACGCTGCACCAGTTCAGTGGTGAGAAAAGCTGATGTGGAGCATTATCACGTGGGTGAGGTTTGTTTCCCACTCAAAATAACCATTAGGACTCACTCTTTGAGTCCCTCTACGGTCCTCAAATTTGAGGATTTCTTTGAGATATTCGGCGAGTCTCTATATATTAGGATAATTTGATGACCTCTGTTTTGGCACATTAAAAGCCCCTTGTCCCTATATTTAGGGACTATATGGCTATGAAACTCCATCTAGGATCCCTACCGGAAAGGCTCACAATACAATAATTTCACTAGACATCATGATTAATAAAATGAGACTTTTTGATGCACTACCAAACTACTTTGTTTTTATTCACCAACGTATTGAAATCTTAGTGTATTGTAATTTTATCAAAACCACAAATTTCAAAAATGTAATTAAGTGAACCACTAAATGGGAGGCACTCAGTGCGATGTTAAGGTCAAAAAGATCAATATTATTGAACAAGTGCTTATAGCAAAATCGTGCTTTTCATGTCCATTAAAGGGCTTGAGTTTGAGGCTATATCTGGCTTTTTTGATTCAAACACAAATTCAATCACTATAGTCTAAAGTTGGGATAACATTATTGTGTTGGCGTCCCGATGGAAAAGCAATTGTTGTGGGGCTTGAAGGCAAGGGGGCGTTGAAGGGTGCAAAAGGTGCAATCGCACAAGGCTTTAAATTTGAAGGGACTCTCAAAATTTTTGTCACCTAATACTTATATGTAATAATATTCTATATTTAAAATTGCTTTTGTTATGAAATAATGTTCTATATTCAACAATTGATTTTGTTAGCACTTTAAATTTCATTTTACACTCCTTATAAGAGTAATTTTCTTTCTAAATACAAAAATTTAGAGTACAATAAGATATTTTGAGTGTCAATAATACACCATAAAAGACGGTATTTTTCCAATATTATTATATAACAATGTTAGATATTCAAGTGAAACTTTAAAGTTAGAGTTTTTGAAGTTCGTTTTCTTCTTTGGTTGTTTAAGATTGAACTGCTTTTCATTATTTAATGAATGTTATGTTTGTAGCTCTTTTTACTTATTATTAATGTCATTTTTAAACTTGCAATCAATGAGTGCTAAACTTTGTTTTGATTTAAGTGATTGTTTTCTAGCGTCAATACATTGTCCTACATTTTTTAAGGCTTATCTTAAGGAGGGACGCTTTTATAAATTTCGCACAAGGCCCCCAAAATCTCAGAGACGGCCCTGCTTGAAGGTGCAACAGTTTCTTTGCATGATGTTGAAGTGAGTAAAGTGTTCCACCGACGGGATTTGAGCCGTCATGTCAAGGCTCAATACATTTTCAATATTATGGTAAAAGACCACTTGCAGTAAAGTGAGTGTTGATTTTGTGAGTAAAATGTTGATTTTTTAGTTAACACATACTATTGGTACTAATTGGTCAGTAAAGTTCCAAACTTGTCACTGTGAATTGCCGACATGCGTAAATTAGCAATATTGTTATGCAAACGATTAGCACGCATACACGGACACAGAGTTAAAGCTTATCATATGAATGTGGACTTATGATTTTCTACATTTATGCTTTCTAATTGTTTTTTTTTTTTTAATTTCTTTGATGCAAAGCAGAATGGAAAGTTGTTGAGAAGCTTAAAATCGCATTCCGTGGTTGTTGTTTCACTTAACTGGGAGGAGGATGGACGCATGACTAGAGTATGTTGTTGGAGTTTTGAGACCTTTAGTGTCCCACATCGGGGAACTCAATGTTCCCAATTGCCTTTATATATCTTTAATCTTTTACATTAACATTTAGGATTTGGACCATTTGGAAATGAATTGAAGGCTTGAACCTTATGGTTGTGTGGATTAAACTTATATAATATAAGCCTAAATTAATTAGATTCATTCATTTTAATTTCGGATTAAGTTTTTAATTAATTTATTAATTGAAAACGTTTTGATTAAGAGATACAGCTCTTAGAAAGAGTTGTGTACTTTCAAATACGAACATGTATTTGAAATGATGTGAAACAACCTATATATTTGCAATCCCAGTTTCCAAGGGAGATCATCCTTTCTTCATTCTTCTCTTCCGTACAAACTTTCCAAAGAGGAAACACACAAAACATTTCGCTAGAATTCTATAATCCAGTGCGGGTTGTAGAGTTAGATAGTTGTATTCTGGTCAAGCAGACGTTGTAGAACCGCAAGCACAAGAATGTGATGAAAATTTTGTTCAAATGACATAGCTTTTGCGCTAGCCTCTACCTTTGATTCATTCAAGTTAGTATCATTTTAGTTTCTGTATTTATTGTATAATTTCATTTTGTATTGCATGTATTTTTGAATAATAAAGTATAAGTATTCAAGTTATGTATTTCTGTTTCTAAATTGTTCTCCAACATATGTTTCATCCATCTAATTGCCGGCCATGCACCAATTTGAGTTTAATGGACGAAATCAGTTGGTTTTTCTTTACTTGAGCTTTTTTTGGGCACCTTTGCTAGTCTAATCTAAACTATGGAAGATACTTCTCAAACAACCTGTCTAATCTGAACTATGAACCAAATTCAATCAATTATTTTCAGCAATATCAAAATCATATGCCCAAAATACGTATACAATATGCACAAATTCAACCATTTCATGACCCAAACTCAAACATGCCCAACATCTACACATGCAATAAATATGCACATAATATGTACCAATTCATGAACCAAATTCAACCAAGTATGTCCAACATCTACACATGCACGAAATATGCACACAATTAAATACCAATTGCTGAACCTATTTCAATTAATTAATTAATTTCCAGCAACATCAAAAGCACATGCACAAAATATGTACATATTATGCACAAATGAATATCTAACAAACCATGAACAAAATTAACTTCAAAATACATACATTTACACAACCCAAAATCATAATCCGATAATTTTCCCCAAATTAACAGTACAAAACACTAAATCGCACCCTAAATTCTCAAATTGGGAAAACGTAAGTTCAAATAATGAAATTTCAATCCAAATCGTACCTTTTTTTTATTTTGTCATTGCAGTTGTTTGAATTGATGTATAACAAACTCGCCTTGGCTGCGAAACTTATAGAAGGGATTGGAAAGGTGGCGACAGTCGGAAAGTTGTGCTGTTTGGGGACTGTGATTCTTCAAGTAGGGGGTTGGGCGAGAGAGATTTTCAGAGAAGGTGTAAATGTTGACTGAGTTGAAGGAAATAACCCATTTATATAGAAGGGGAATTTGGCCTTTTCAAGTTTCAAAAAATCTTATTTTTGTTATTTTCTTGTGCATGTCGTGTGCATATCCTATGCATAGTTAAAAAAAATCCTATTTTTGATCACAAGATTAAGAAAATAGATCATTTTTGTTAATTTCCCTATATTATATTTTGAAAACTTTTATATTTTCATCTAGTAAATTCTAAAATGAAAAAAACCCCATTTTGCTTCCAATTCCATCTCGCTTTCTCTAAAGAGTAATGAGAAACTAAATTTGAAGATAAATTTGGTAAACTGATACGTCATTAATAAAAATTAGCATGTTTACTAAGTAAGAAACCAATAATCAATTTTCATGTCTTTTAATTCTAAATTTTGTTTTTAACTCTTAAGTAAGAAACCAATAATCATTTTCCACGTTATTGTTAACCCATCTACCGAGAAAAAAAAAAAAAAAAAAAAACCCATTTTCGTTCCAGAGAATCCAAGCGAAAGAAAAAGCATCATGATTAACTCAAAAGCCGAAAGGCTGGTAAGGAGGACGACCATGGTGGCCATTGTCACTGCTCCCTATTTCATCTTGACTGCTGATTACGGCTCCGAGCCCAACGCTCTCGACCCTGTAAGTTCCTTTTTCTTTCCGATCTTCAGAATTCAAACTTTGATCTTCTTACGAAAAGGGTAGCGAGAAAATGAAAACTTAATCTCTTGTTTCACAGTTTAATTTCTCAGGTCAGCAATTTGAGCTCATAAATTTTGGGGTCTTTCCATTTCGTGTTCGATTTACAATTGTTAGTTGTAGAATGAATGTGGGTTGTGCAACTGGGCTTGTTAGGTATATTTTGTTTTCGCTTTTCGTCGATTTTGTTCACGTCTTTTTAGTAAATTGATAATGTGAGTGAGATTTTGGGTAGTTTTCTCTGCTTGTGTAGTTACCACTCTGTATTTGATTGCTCAAGACACCCAATGCGATCTTTATATCATTAGCTTTGATTGTTTACGACGACGACAAAGTTGCGATTGTAAAAAGCTGGAGAAAATGTGATTTAGGAATGCTCTTGGACTGCTATGCTGTGTAGATTATTGAGCACTTCCTTTTTTCTTCCTTGAATGTAGAGCGGAGCATTTTTAATCAGTTAGGAATGATGTGTTTTGCGAAAATTGGTAGTTTAAGGTACCTTTGAGTACCTGAACCTAGTAACTCTAATTGCTTGCATGACCAATAAAAAGAACAAAAGCGAAAAAAAACTTAGTAAATCCTTGATTGCTGTTTTGTCTACATTTGTTATCGTTGCTTACAGTTTTATGTTGCTTGCAGTTCACTGATGTTGAAACGATGTTTTCTCCAACAATTTTTGCCGACCGTAGTTTGTCTTATCTTATGAGTGACAAGCCTCAGGAAGCTCTCAACAATGCAATGCAAGCACAAGTAGTTTCCCAGTCTGGCACTTTGTATCTTATCTTTAGGCTGCTGCCCTTTCGGCCCCTTGGAATGGACAGTGAAGCTCAAGCAGCACTTGTTATGAACTCTGCGTAAGAATGTATTGTTCTTAGGATATGTAAACACAAGTAAATTTATTCATTTGGTGGTATCGTTATGTGCCAGGCCCTAGACCTGATTCAAGATAGAAATCTTCAGATGCTGACAGATTCTTGCTTGGAAGGACACCTTTCTAGTGATGATGGTACTGAGTTGGCACACTTGGCTTCACAATGTTTACAATCTGAACCCTGAGAGCGACCAAATCCAAAGTCATTAGTTGCGTCTTTGACTCCTCTTCAGAAAGAAACTGAGGTTAGCTCTCTCCCCTGTTTCTCTAATTAAGCATTATATTCCCAACTATACTCGGTGAGTATAGTTTGACTGTTTCAAATCTTCACACAATTGTTTCTAGATGTATATTTGGGGCAGTCTTGTAAGCAATATATTATATGTTATCTTCTTTTCACTGGAATCAATCTGAGTAATTTGTGTAAGCTCGTATCTAATTATCTGCCGATTCATTCTTGTATTAATACTGAACCTTGTACCAAGCGGAAATATTTGAAAACTTGGGCAAGGGACATGACTCTAATTTGTTATTAGTGAGTACTTGAGAGAGCTACACTTTTGTTTAGTGCCTTTCATGGTGAATGATGTAAACCCTTACGTAAGTTCATATGAAGATCGAACACAACAATGCATATGAACTACGTACTGCAGTAAATGCGTGCAGCATTGTTAACCCTAGTTTGAGCATAATGCATTCTGTCGATAGACAATGAATGCATGGAACTTACTCGAGGATGATACCATGAAGATCGAGACGTGATTAAGACCTTCCCTTCTCTTGGTAACGTATTGGATCTCTCTGCTATCAATAGGACTAGCACTAGCGTTAAGAGAACCATGCCACACCCGAGAAAGGGGATCGAAACCCTAGTTATGAGGATGTAACTGCCCCTCCTATCATGGCTGCAGTTACTTTCAGTTTTCCAACTCCTCATAACCGTTCTCTACATCATTTTGTACAAAACTCATAGTTTTCTCACCTTATATTATACATTGATCGACATGTATAAGTTTCATTACATCATATCTCCTTATAGTAATGTTATTTCATGTCTTTATTAGGTGTTTTGATTCACTTCTGACATATAAGTTCTTACATTATCCCACATGAGAATGATCAAAACATCTAATGAAATAACTAACAAGTCACCACTGAGATAAAGAGTTGAACTAAATCTTTCAAACATACTCAAAGAAGCATTAGTTGAACTTTAGACAGTATAATACAATTTGCAGTACCATTTGTACTAAAATCATAGACTAATAGCATTCAAATGAGATCATGTGTGAGAATACACTTCTGAATAAGAGAATTCTTCATTACAAGCATTACTCCGACATTGCTTCAAAACATCCTATATATTCTGATTCCATTGTAGAAACAGCCCTTGTGGTTTGCATTCTGCTTCTCCATGACACTGCACCCCCAACCATTATAAAAAATATCCACTTGTGGATATTCTATCATCAATGCAGCCTCTCAAATCAGCATCACTATAACAGACAACTTCCAAGTTTTGGACTCGATGGTAACTTAATACATAGTCCTGTGTCTTTTTCAAATACCTCAGTACCTTTTTGCCTGCATTCCAGTGTGCAATACCAGGATTTGATTGAAACCTTCCTAGTACACTTAATGCAAAAGCTAAATCAGGTCTGGTGCATACTTGTGCATTCATGACACTGCCAACTAGAGATGCATACGGCTTATCCTTCATAACTCGAATGTCATGTTGAGTTATAGGGCACTGTGAGAGAGAGAACTTATCCCCTTTACCAATGGGGACATCACCCACACTGCAAGCTTCCATATTGAATCTCTTCAACACTCTCTCAATGTAGTTCTTCTGAGATAGCCCCAAGGTTCCATTCTGCCTATTCTTCACAATCTCAATACCCAAAACATAATGAGCCTGTCCCAAATCTTTCATATCAAAATTGTTACATAGCATTTTCTTGGTTTCAATCATTGACTGCATATGAGAGCTTGCCAACGGTATATCATCCACATATAAAACCATGAAAATGAATTGAGATTTGTGTTGCTTCATGTAGATACAATTATCAATTTTGTTTTCCACAAAACCAAAGGACTGCACAACTTGATCAACACGTTTATACCACTGCCTCGAAGCCTGTTTTAAACCATAAATAGACTTATTTAGCTTGCACACCAGATGCTCTTTCCCCCTTTCAACAAATCCTAGAGGTTGTACCATATAAATGTCCTCGTCAAGGCTACCATTAAGAAAGGCAATTTTAACATCCATTTGGTGAAGTTCCAAGTCAAAATGAGCTGCGAGTGCCATAATAACCCTAAAAGTCTTTGGTAGAAACTGGAGAAAACATTTTTGTGTAATCCAAGCCTTCATTTTGGGTAAACCCTTTAGCTACAAGTTGGGCTTTAAGCCTTTCAATCCTGCCATGAGCATCCCTCTTGGTTTTAAATACCCATTTGCACCCTATTGCCTTCAACCAAAGTCCAAACATGATTACTTGCCATGGAAGCAAGTTCTTCTACATTGGAGCTTTCCACAAATCACTCTTAGAACTCTCCATGGCCTGTTTATAAGTCATTGGATCATCTTCATCACCAAGATCATACTCAACTTCTTGTAGATAACACAAATAATCATTTGGTATAGCAGACTTCCTGGTTCTCATTGATTTCCTTAATAAAGGGTTTCCATAGCACTAGCATTAAGAGAACCATGCCACACCCGAGAAAGGGGATCGAAACCCTAGTTATAAGGATGTAACTGCCCCTCCTATCATGGTTGCAGTTACTTTCAGTTTTCCAACTCCTCATAACCGTTCTCTACATCATTTTGTACAAAACTCCTAGTTTTCTCACCTTATATTATACATTAATCAACATGTATAAGTTTCATTACATTATATCTCCTTATGGTAATGTTATTTCATGTCTTTATTAGGTGTTTTGATTCACTTCTCGCATATAAGTTCTAACAAATGATACTCTATGAAATGTCAATCTCTTATGCCCCAAAATTCAGGGTAGTTAACGACAAGGGTTTTCAGTGATCGTAGTACTTTAATCATATATAGATGCTTAACATGGGTATCCCACATAGTACCTCCTGGTCTTCTCCTTCACCACTCGGTGAAGCCTGCTCAAGAAGGGATTTGACTGCTATACATGATATACTAAAGAATATCAGCTATAAAGACGATGGAATGACAAATGAGGTCCTATTTTTGTTTAATAAATGGAGAAATATCTAATAAGTTGTGTTGTATATATTTAGCCTTCTCAATAGTTACGCTCCACTGCAACTCTCGTTCCAAATATGCACTAACCAAATGCTGGAATCATTAGATTCAAAGAAAAGGGGGGATTCTGCTTTTAAGTACAAGGACTTCAAACCACAATTGAGTGTTATTCACAGGTTAGGTTCTTATTATGATACTTGAGGGAAATTCTGAGTAGAGGTTTGATAAGAGTTGCTTTCCTATTCTACTGATATCCGAATTTGGCCTTCAATAGGATGTTCTTTATCTGACCAGTTAAAATAAATTACTAAACACAGCTTCATACGAAATTTTGTTTGGCGTAAGATTTCCAGTCAGAATACGATCGTTACATTTTATCTTCTAATTCATGATAGGAAGATTTGAAGAAAGGAAATTGGTAGTTTAAGTTATCTTAGAGTATTTGCATGATCAATAAAAAGAACAAAACTGAAAGAAAAAAAAATAGTAAATCCTTAATTGCTGCTTTCTCTGCTTTATCGTTGCTGACAGTTCTCTTTCACTTGCAGTTCATTGATTTTGGAACAATGGTTTCTCCAACAATTTTTGCCCGGCGTAGTTTGTCTTATCTCATGAGTGACAAGCCTCAGGAAGCTATAAACAATGCAATGCAAGCACAAGTAGTTTCCCCACTGTTTGATATCCTTTCCTATTATATTCTGATTGTATTCATTTATTTTATTTATTACAAACGATGTATGTTGACTCCATCTGTTTGATATCCTTTCCTAGTATATTATGATTGTATTCGTTTATTTTATTTATTATAAATTTTCAGGATGGCAATCCCAGAATATCCACCTTTGCCCGATGAAAAATAGTAGGGATGGGAAGAGTTATAGTACAAATCTGGCGTTTACTCCTCCTGAATATATTAGGACTGGTAGGTAGATCTTGGAAAAAAGCGGCGTTTATTATGATTTACTTGACAAACATCCTTTAAGTATGCAGTTCAGCAATTATCATACACTGCAGATCCCTTGTCTTGCAGGGAGAGTGACACCAGAAAGTGCAATATATAGGTTTGGACTCTCTTGATTGATCTTCTCAGCAGAAAGCGTATCCCCTCTAGCCAGTGATTGTTCCAGTGGTGAACTGAACAAAAATAAAGAAAAAATCATTTGTAGGAAAATAGAAATTAGGGAAACTCTTGTAAAGATCTAATGGTTACTCTTTTGCCTACGATAAAATATAGTTTACTTTCAATTGTTATGAACTTTGCGTGAGTATTTATCCTTCTTAGGATATGTAAACACAAATAAGTAAATTTATTCATCTGGTGGTTGATCATTTTGTACGAGGCCCTAGACCTGATTCGAGACAGATATCTTCAGATGCTGACAGAATTCTTGCTTGGAAGGACAGCTTTCTAATGATAATGGTACTGAGTTGGCACGCTTGGCTTCACAATGTTTACAATCTGAACCCCGAGAGCGACCAAATCCAAAGTGATCAGTTGCTTCTTTGACTCCTTTTCAGAAAGAAACTGAGGTTAGTTCTTTCTCCTCGGTTTCTCTAATTAAGCATTCTATTCCCAACTTTACCTGGGGAGCATAGTTTGATTGTTTAAAATCTTCACACAATTGTTTCTAGATCTATATTTTGGGGCAGTCTTGTAATCAATATATTCATATGTTATCTTCTTTTCACCAAACTCAATTTGAGCTAATTGTGTAAGCTCGTCGTATCTACCGATTCGTAATTTGTTAATACTAAACCTTTGTACCAAGCGGAAATATTTGAAAAATTGGGAAAGGGATATGACCCTCATTTGTTATTAGTGAGGACTTGAGAGAGTTACACTTTTGTTTAGTGCCTTTCATGGTGAATGATACTCTCTTATGGCCCGAAATTGAGGTTGGTTAATTACAAGGGTTTTCAGTGATACCGTACTTGTTGGGTGCCAATTAGAAGCACTCGGATCTGCAGCATCCTAGTAGTTTAATCATACATAGATGCTTAACATGATGCTGGTAGCTGTATCCTGGACTTCCTTTAAGTTCTTTTTGTTTACCTATGCAGGTTCCTCCTTCTGTTTTGATGGAAATCCCACATGGTACCTCATGGTCTTCTCTTTCACCACTCGGCGAAGCCTGCACAAGAAGGGATTTGACTGCTATACATGAGATCCTAGAAAGTATCCGCTATACAGATGATGGAATGAGAAATGAGGTTCTATATTCGTTTAATTAATGGAGAAAAATCTAATAAGTTGTGTTGTATACATATTTAGCCTTCTCAATAGTTTGGTTGTGTTTTCTGACATTTTCTCTCTTACGTTCCACTGCAGCTCTCGTTCCAAATGTGGACTGACCAAATGCAGGAATCATTAGACTCAAAGAAAAAGGGGATTCTGCTTTTAAGCTCAAGGACTTCAGAACCACAATTGAGTGTTATTCACAGGTTAAGTTCTTATTATGATACTCGTGGGAAGTTCTGAGTAGAGCTTTGATAAGAGTTGCTTTCATGTTCATACCGATATCCGAATTTTACCTTCAATAGGATGTTCTTTATCTGACCTGTTGAAATAAATTACTACACACAGCTTCGTACGAAGTTTGTTTGGCATTACATCTTATCTTCTAATTCTTGATAGGAAGAAACAAAATTGGTAGTTCAAACGAAATTGGTAGTTTAAGGTACATTAAGAGCATCTAAACCTGGTAACTCAACTTGCATGACCAATAAAAAAGAACAAAACTGAAAGAAAAAAATTATTATATCCTGAATTGCTGCTTTCTCTGCATTTGTTATCGTTGCTGACAGTGTTATTTTGCTTGCAGTTCATTGATGTTGGAATGATGATTTCTCCAACCGGGCGTAGTTTGTCTTATCTCATGAGTGACAAGCCTCAGGAAGCTATAAACGATGCAATGCAAGCACAAGTAGTTTCCCCACTTTTGCACATTTCATGTTATCTTCAGGCTGTTGCCCTTTCGGGCCTTGGAATGGACATTGAAGCTCAAGCAGCACTTAAGGAGGGTACTACGCTTGAATCCAAAAGGAGTAAAGCAGTTGGACAAAAGTGAAAATCTAGTCCGGTCGACCAGGTGCCCAGTTTTCCACTTCTTTCGGTTTGGCTCTCAGCATATATAGGCGTCGATCGATCATAAGGTTTAAAACCACTGGAGCCAAAGCTTCATCATTTCCATGGTATTAGATTTTGGTCATTTTCCTGCAGTATATATTGTATTTGATTTGATTTCTTGTGTGTCAATTCGCGTATATGAATTCCTTCGACAAAATGGAAAGAAAAAATAGAAAGTTGTTAAAAACAGTGGTAGGGAGGAAATCGTTCAGAAGCTTTATAATTTGTGTCCAGAAAGCATATAGGATTCCTACTTGGATAAATAAATAAATAAATAATAATAATAATAATAATAATAATAATAATAATAATAATAATAATTAACGTCGTTTGATTGTTGTTAGACACAGATATAAATTACTACTTGGATACAAATAAAAAGTTAACCCTTCGAACTAAAATTTACGACGAACAAAACAGTCATATGCAGTCCATAATTAATTCACTTTCTTTGGTAAATATCATGATTCTAAACATAATCTGCAGAATGGTCTTGATAAAGTAAACATAAACATAAACATCTTACAAACAACTAACATTAACAAAACATCTGCCAAAGAGATTTAGTAGTAAAGTTCTTTATTGTGACAACTGAATACTTGAAAACTTAAAACAGATAAGGCCCATGAAGCTCTTCTAGTGAAGTGAGCCCTTTTGTGTTATCTCAGAAGACGCTGAAAATAAAAATACACAAACACACGTAATTAAGTTCTGAAGAAGACAGCCAAATCAATAAGAAAAACTTTACAAATAGATGCATGCATATTGCTAATTTAAGAAAGAAAAGTAAAATCACATTTACGTACCATTGCTTAATTGAAGTGCCGCTTGATCGAAATCACCCTCAGATAAAGCCAATCATTCAAGACATTCAAGAACCTGATGTATGAGTATCTCCATTGCCGGATGAAAATCAGGCTGCCACAGACTCCCCAAAATCCAACAATAAAACCAAGCGCCATGCTGACGTAAAATCCCCATGTTATCGGCTCATCCTTTTTTTCTTCATTGCTTGAGATCACGGTTTCCTGTTGATCATCACACATATTTTGAAGTGGAGGTCCGCACAGTTGAGGATTTCCAGCATAATTAGAGGGATCAAAACTTTGGAGCTGAGTGCCTGTTGGAATTTTGCCAATAAAATTGTTGTATGACAAGTCCAAGACACTAAGACGATCTATCCGAGCAAGGCTTGTTGGAATTCTGCCATCCATCTGGTTTCTTGACAAATCAAGGATATCCAATTCTTGCAACCTTCCAATCTTTGCGGGTAACTCACCTGTCAATTCGTTTCTCGATAGGTTTAAAGAAATTAACCCAACAAGATACGTGATTTCAATTGGTATCTGCCCCGTTAACCTATTTCTCGAGAAATCAATTCTCTTCACGAGTCCCAAAGTTTTTTTGTACAAGTGCATTCTCCCTTTCCATACGAATGTTGCATCATCCATATAACCAACCATATATGAAGTATCCTCTCTTCGGTACGAATGTTGAAGGGTCGGAGATGAGTTTCCCTTCTGTGCCAGAGCAGTCAAATTGCTGAGGCATTTTGGTATTGCTCCAGAGATGTTGTTCACAGACACATCCAAGTTTTGAATTTTTGTTAGACGACATAGTTCAGACGGCATGCTTCCGTTGAAGTTATTAGAGGAAAGCATCAAGATAACCAAATTCTGAAGGCTAACCCCTAACCATTTTGGTATGGGTCCTGATAATTGATTGTTTCCAACATCAATAACTTTTAAACTGGTGCAATTCTTGAAGGATGAAGGCAACTCTCCAACAAATCTGTTGCTTCTTAGTTTCAATGTTTCCATGTGATACAGTGAGCCTACTGTGGATGGAATTTTCCCCGAAAAAGCATTGTAGCTCAAATCAAGCATGACTAGATGGTCAAAATGTGTCAAGCATTCTGGAAGCTCTCCAGAGAGATTGTTGCTTGAGAGATTAAGAAACATTAAACTCCTGTATGCTTCACACAAGATAGAAATTGACCCTGAAATGTTATTATTAGAGAGATCCAAATATGACGCATGCGATAGAGTTGAGGGAATTGGACCTTCGATTTGGTTCGAACTCAAATGTATTTGAGGGTAATACGTAAAATTCATTGTCGAATTTGCAAACATTTCTCCAATTTGGTTATTGGAAAGACTGATAAATGACACGTCACGAGTCGTACCCCAAAACCAGCTTGGAAGGATATCCACAATTCCAGCATCAGAAATATTGAGGTATGAATACTCATTCTGAGTTTGAAGCCATTTGGGAAAATACGGACCCATTTTGCAAGACCCCAAATATATATACCTCAATTTAAATGGAGGAACCCAATTAGAATTGAAGCTTAAAACTAGCAAGTTGGAGGACAAATCCAAAGATTTTAATCTAGAGAGATTCGAGAAGTGGCTTTCCGAAACCACACCTTTTAGAGCATTCATACTCAAGTCCATATACTCTAGATTAGACAGTTGCCCAATGCTTTCCGAAACCACACCTTCGAGAGCATTCATACTCAAGTCCATACGCTGTAGATTAGACAGTTGCCCAATACTTTCAGGTATTGTTCCACTCAATTGATTTCCAAAGAGATATAATTCTTTCAACGATGAAAAGTTTGTGAGATCAGGAATTGATCCAGAA